TCTTCAATGGTAAATGACTAAATATTTGTGAAAAGAACTGGCCCAGATACCCAGCACATAGGACCTGCCCAATTCTCTAGATTTCAATCTGAATTGTGTTTTTAACTTACTCTTGATTTCACTTTGTTGTTGTTGTTGTTGTTCAACAACAATGTGAGTCTCCTAAGAAATACAGTTAGAATGCCTCCATGACAGGATTATGGGGACAGAGTGTTTGTGGTGTTTTGTTTGATTTGAAATTTTAAAGCTCAATCAGGAATTAAGGTAAGTACAGAGACAGAGCTATTAAAGAAATTGGAAAGGAACTGACAGTCCTGGAATTTGGCAGCTCCTATTTGATTTTAAATGTAAGTTAAATATTAATTTTTCTAAAAAAACAGTCTTCCTCCAGGGAGGCCTTTTTTTTTTTTTCTCTCTCCCTCTCTTATGTTGACAGATTGTTGGTGGCTTGCCTTTTACACTAACTTATTTGGATAAAAAAAAAAAAAGTCTTCAGATGATCCTATTTGTATAAGAAAAAAAGTCTTCAAAACAGCACCCTTGTTGCCAGCATCAACAGCAGCTGAACAGGGTTGGATTGTTGCATATTGAGAATTATTCCTTTCATTTCAAAGGAATCAAAGATGTTTGGAGCAAGCAAGAGCCCTGGTTACCCATGATCAAAATAAATTAATATTAGATTTGCTTATGGAAAGAGCTGATTAAGTCTGCTGTTGAAGTCTGAGTACACCTTTTATTGTTCCATAAGGATTTTGTAGAAAAGACAGGAGTCCACTTGGAAAAGCTAAACTGATTTGGGGAAAATAAGGAACATCCTAAGATCTTCTCTTTTTGGAATTCCTTCCTGCTGCAGGTTCCTTAAAAGAAGTGAACGTGATGATGCTGTTGACTTGTAAACAGAAGTCAAAAGGAAATTCAAGCTCTGTCAAGATTCATTCCAAATATAATAAAAAAAAGAAAAGGAAATGTTCGAGTCCCTTTTAAAGTTTTTGGATGGCTTCTCTGGTTGTTCTCCGAATTTGGCAGGAATGGAAACAATAGAGGAATTACAGGCTCCCAGTTCATACCTATCTTATCAGAAATTTCAACATCTTATGGTTCCAGTGTTGCCTTTTCCAAATCATCATTTCTTTCTTATTTTCATGCACATTTGTTTTCTTTCTCTTAAAAAAAAATACAAAGTTACTATTATCCAGTGCTCCATGACATTCAGCATTCACGTTTTAGACTTTGGTAGATAAAATTAAGCATACTACTCCTGCCACTGCCTCTAGATGTGACCTATGGGCTTGTTTCCTCATTTGCAAAGTAAGGGAATTGAATGAGACTTGCAGTGGTCAAACTATGTCCTATCCCTGAGTTCTTCAACCTCCACGCTGTTGATACTTTAAGCTGGATAATTCTTTGTTGTGGGAGGCTGTCCTGTTTATCCAGGGATGGTTAGTTAGTACCATTAGATGACAATAGTACAACCATACTCCTCTCCCCTGGGTGTGAAAACCAACACTGTCTCCAGGTGAAAAAATCACTAACTAAAGCAGTGGTTCTCAAACACTGGTAGGTAGCAGAACGCTGGGGAACTTGGTGGAAACATCAAGGCCCAGACTTGATTCTACTTTAAAAACCAGGGCCTCCAGGGCCGGTCGAGTGGTGCGTTGGTTAAGAGCTGGCTTGGGACGCCAGAAGACCCTGGTTCGGATCCCACATTAGGGTCAGTGATGCTGCGCCCTCTTACAGCTAAGATGGTGAACAAAAGCTCGACCTGGAGCTGGGCTGCCTTGGGTCGCCAGCGATGGCGTAGGCTGCAGCCCCTGCTGCAGTGGGCTGCCATCCTGTGAGTGGCCATCCTGTGAGTGGCCGTCCTGTGGCCGGCGACCGATTGCCTCACCTGGAAAGAGCACAATGATAATACAAACATGGGCCAGTGAAGCGAAGTCCTCTACAACTAGACTGATGAACAAAAGGACAGCAACTTGTCTGTTTCCCTTCCCCAATTCCCCAATAAAAATCTTTAAAAAAAATATCCGGGCCGGCCGAGTGGCGCGATGGTTAAG